CCCCCCCCCCCCCCCCCCCCCCCCCCCCCCCCCCCCCCCCAACCTCAGGTGAGAATGAAACTTGGTTCAGATTAGCTTCCATCAGCCCGGATTAGGATGCTAGCGAGTCTGAGCTCAGACAGTTTATTACCAATAGTGAACGCAGTATAATCTGGAAAAAGTTTCCCGGTATAACGCAGTCTCCAGTGCACAGGGAAGCATAATTACATTGAAACTTGACTGAATATGTCATTTTGTCATTTGTTCCAAGAAAACTGGTTCTAGAGGTTTAGGGCCCGAGGAAGGGTCTGGCCTTCTCTTGGCCATACAGATGGTGTAGAGGTCGTTTGGGCTGTTAGCCACTTCTAGTTGGGGAGGCCCCTGGCTGTAAGGCCCATTTAGATGACTAGCCACCTCTGGTCCTAGTTGAAGGATCTTGCTATGGCCTGGCCTAACAGATAACACAGATCACAGGGCCGTTAGTCACTTTGAATTCCTAGCTTTCTGGATGGAAGAATTGGGTTTTACCTGTAGGCACAAGGACCTTTGTGTTCCCAATAGGGAGCCAAGCTGGAATTTATAGGTAGTTTGAAGCCATCTGACATGGGTGCTGGGAACCGAATTTGAGTCCTCTGCTAGTTAAATGCTCTTAACTTCTGAGCCATCTTTCCAGCCACCTCTCTTTGAGACAGGTCTCATGCTGGCTTCTAACACGCTATGTAGCTGAGGCTAGCCTTGAACTGGTTTTCCTCCCTCCTTTTAAGTGCTGGAAACTATAGGCATCATTTGTTGTCATGCCCGGGTAAAAAGTTGGGTTTTGTTTTTTATTTTTTTATTTTATTTTTTGTTTTTTTTTGAGACAGGGTTTCTCTGTGTAGCTCTGGCTGTCATCCTGGAACTCACTCTGTAGACCAGGCTGGCCTCGAACTCAGAAATCCGCCTGCCTCTGCCTCCCAAGTGCTGGGATTAAAGGCGTGCGCCAGCACTGCCTGGCTCAGTTTTTTATATTTAAAAATTGTTTTATTGTATATGAGTGTTTTGTCTGAATGTATGTCTGTGCATGCATACAGAGCCTATGGAAGCCAGAAGATAGGTCAGATCTCCTGGGACTAGAGTTCCAGACAATTTTTAGCTGTCATGTGGGTGCTAGGAATTGAACCCCAGGTTGTCTAGAAGAGCAGCCAGTACTCTTAACTGCTGAGCCATCTCTCCAACACCCCTACTCCCCCACCCCTTTAAGAGAAGATCTTATGTAGAGAAGGCTAGCCTCAAACTCAGAGCAGCTATATAGCCAAGGATGGCCTTGATCCCTGATCTGCTGGCTCCACCTGTAAGTGCTGAGATTGCCTGCCTAGTGCACAT